CATAAGTAATTGCAGTTAAGTGTTAAGTTTTGCATTACGTCACGATCTTTTTCGACAGATGCATCCATTGTAAACAATTGAGCCGCCGCTGTGTGATTGGTCAACTCATATTATCAACAATGACACGGAAATAGTATGTTGCATGAGCAACCAATCAAGGATATAGAAGAAACTTTCAGTCGTAAAGCTTGCGGTTAGGAGGCGTGTACTTTTTACCTTGAGCGCAGCTGTCATCATAGGTTGTGACGTAATGCAAAACTTCACACTTAACTGAAATTACTAATAAACAATACAAAGTTTGGAGCAGAGCAAACGAGGGCCAATAAAACAACAGAGTAGAAATCAGGTGCCATGAAAGGGTGAACATCCCTACCGACCGGTCACATACCCGTATACTACTTGTCATGATCAGGAAATAACGAAAAAACCTGTTCACAATTCAGTGTGTAAATAACAGCTACTAAGTAATATCTACATGTTGTATGAACAAATCAGTCAACATTTCAATTAATAATAGATTGTATTGCTGACAAGGTCATTGTATCGACCATAGAACGTGCGCAACGTGCTGACTTTAAACAAGACTGCTGATATTCTTGTTACATTAACTTATTTGACAATAACTAACCTCATTTAAGAAACTGTTCATACGTAAAACTTGCTATCGCGTATCGAATCAGCTGAGATATATAAAACCCGTATGTAGGTGATGAAGATATGTTGCTGCATTATTAAAGGAAGTTGACAACTGAGAAGATAAAATCATTACGTTTCATGATTCAAGTGTCAAAGAGAAACGTCATAATAACGTCGATACATTTTTTGCCGTGCTTGAAAAAGATATATCTGAGGAGATAATTCCCTTCTCCTTTTACCATAAGTCCACAACAATGACTGGAGTGTTATCTTTTATAAATGAGATAGATAATAATTTCTTACTACCTTCTCCTTTCTTGTAGACCATACGCATTGCGCATTATTTACATTTCATTATTCTGAAGCACTTTTATTGCCAGAATAGACAAGTGATTAGAAATATGTTTTTGGCAACAGTCGACTCAATTCTTTCTATTTTGTTTTGACGAAGTGCAATTTAAATGATTTCAATCCATCATATAAATGTTTGGTTCAACTTTCTTTAGCTTCTTTAGCCAAGACCAAAAGAAATCCAGTGAAGAATATTCAGATAAAATTTACATTTTACTTACAAGAATCAATATTTTTTTCTTATTGTTTAGTTATTTATTAACCCCCCCCCCCCCCCCGCTGGAAAAGCGGCCAACTTTTCTTCTCATACCACTGAATGAAATTTGATAAAACTTTCACAAAATCTTGATTACATTCGTATATATTGCCATTGTGCACCTCCTATTTAACTTTTTAATCCGACACATATTTCGGATTTCCCATAGCAAAACATGGACACTTTATATTCTTATAGGAGGCGGGAGGTATCATTTAGTGAGCTCATCGCTCACAGTACCTCTTGTTTGATATGAATTGCCAGTTCGGAAACCCTTACAAGTCGATTGTCAGTTAAATCCTGACATTTCTGAGAATAAAATGAATTTCATCCCAAAATGCCAGAGGACAATCTTATCCGTGTAATAGCTCACCTACAGCGAAGCAAGCATGTTGAATAATGCAGAATTGGCTCAAATTTCGATGAACAAGCATTTGCACCAACTGAAACAAATTTCTTTCACAATTTTTCATAATTAAATATCATTAAACAGTGGGGCACAAACCTTGAAGGTACACCTGTAAATTTTTAACCTAATAAGCCAATTTGATGAGATTTCTCCATGAATTGTTGATTATGTCAAATTAAAAGGATGCTTGTGGGGCTTTGTCTCTGACACTTTACTCCAATATTACAAGTACGAGTGCTTCAGTACAAATTTTCATCAAACATTTGAAAATAAGTCTGATTTTAAGAAAATTTAAAATAAAAAGATTTGCTGATGCTGGAAATTGTATTGAAGCTATTGGTTAAGGGATGTCAGCAAATATTAAATTATCATTAAAACGGAATATAAAAACAGCGGACTGACTAACAATCTTATCTTTTTATGTCCAAGTACATGTAATTGAGGATTTGAGGGCATAATTTTTTGCTCTGTCTGTCCTACTGTCTGTTTGTCTATTTATCTATCTTATTTGTCTATCTGTTTGTCTATTAGTCCGTATAATTTTTTTTTATATAAAATTTAACATTGGGTACCAACATATTTGAGCTTTTGTCCTTGACCTTGGAGTTTGACACACTTTTGCAAAAAATTACCCAACTTTAACCTTGTCCATAACTTTTGAACTTCCATACGTCGAATATTTCTGTATTAACGGTTGAAAGACATTTCCGAAGATTTATATATTTTTTTTATAATTTGACCTTGACCTTAGAGCTTGATGCAGTTTTAACCTTGGACATTCCTTTTGAATAGTTGATATTAAGGCTAACACATTTCACAAGTGTATATCTTGTGCCAAGACATTCCTTTACATACCAACAATTTTGCGTTTTTGAACTTGGAGATTAACCTATATTTCAAAAGCCTTTTAATTGCATGTATTGAATTATATGATGATTAATCATTGAATCTGAATGAACAATTAAAGGCTAAACATGGACATCTCTCATAAAGTCCTTTACTGATATAAATTTATTGTAGGGTCGTAAGCAGCTAAACAATAAACTTCAATCATTTTAGCTAGGAATTGTTTCCATACATGGTATACTGGTGTGTAATGGTTAAAAATCAACACTGCATATCATCCAAATAGCAATTGATGGCCATTATCCTGCTCTTTAATTATTACACCTTTAGTATCAAGATCTAAAATTCTGTATGCCTCTCTTTTAGTCTTCAATTTTTTTAAAAATTTGCCATAAGGACTTTCATCTTGTGCGATGAAAAATTGATTAAAGAAAAAATTAAAATCGTATCGTTTAAATTTTAAAATAGTTATTTCAATGTCAATCGATTGGGTTGCGTGATAATTTGCATAAACGCCGAAGGCGTTTATGCATAAAATTATCATGCAAACCAATCGATTGATCATCGTCATGAAATTGAAAAATCTGACAGTTATTCCTTATATTTACATGCTTTGATTCCGCCAATCCACGTGCTCCAAACCCTGCTTCTGTCTAGCTATTTGTTCCGCCCTGCACGTGGTTTTTTTTGGAACTGCGCCAATACATTGATTGGAAATAAAGTACATTAATTTTACAATTTGTACTTTTATCTAAGACAAAGACATTGGAAATGTAAATATTTTTTCATCAATGTCTTTCTCTAGAAAATTATCCACATATGATGTAGATGTGTTAGATTCAGCTGTTTCTTATAATTTGATTCCAGTGTATGGAATCTATAAAATCAACAAAAGAAGTTGATGCTTAGTTTTTCAAAAAGTCAATGGTATGGTATAACGTGTTGAACTGAAGGCCGAAGAAAACGATTCCTTCGTTAAATTCCGTGTGGAATTTAATTATTTAATCATAAGAGTAAGAAACAGGTCTGCTAAATAAATGTTCCCAGTTAGTACCTACAAGGAATTCATAGCAAATCGTTGAAAAACTTTGTCTCCGAAGACTAAATAGATATTACCGATGAGAAACTCGGGGAACTTTTTAATATCAACTTCAGAGTTTATATGTGTAGAAACAGAATGATATAGCTGACTTATGACAGGATCTGAAAAATTAATGCAAATTCATACAGGAAGCGTGTACTGTAAAACCAACAGAGAAGAACAGAACAAGACATGGGGACCTTAAAAAAAATAGTATCAGGAAATTAATTTTAAAAAAATGTATTTTATCAGAGGACATCCTGATACGTTGGAAAGACAATTTTACGAAAGTGTTCAAAATGAATGAACAGGAAATAACAGTAACAATAACAATCATTTTTTTTTAAGACAGACATACTGCTCCAGTAAAGAAGATTAGAACAGTAATTCCAAAATAGTACCAGGAAAAACAGAAGGCATATGCAATAACTTGCAGAGCTTTCTAAGGCTGAGGAATACTGGACACGTGTCATCTTGAAAAGTATTGTATGGAAGATTTTCAAATCAAAAGAATCACCAATCTGAAAACCAGCCTTATAGTTCAAATCCTAAAACATGAAACCTAACAAATTGCCAAAAATTATAGTTCAAATCCTAAAACATGAAACCTAAGAAATTGCCAAAAATTATAGTTCAAATCCAAAACATGCAACCTTACTAATTGCCAAAAATTATAATTCAAATTCAAAACATGAAACCTAACAAATTGCAAAAATCATATGGGATAGTGTTCTACAATGTAACAATGGCACTCAGCATAATCATTGATATTAAAGATGTTGCTGAATTTTACTTAATCTTGAGAAGAAACAAGACCCATAACTACAGGCTATATGCCTTCGATGAATATTGCACACTAACATGAGTGTTATCTCAGATTAAGAGATTTACGATAGCACAACACTTAAGATCATGAATCTGCAAAAGAATATAATAAGGAAAGATATGTTTGTAGTTAGGGTAGATATACATAGAATCCATCCGAACACCCTTCAGATCAAGGGTTGTATTTTTAAGCTGGTGACAAACTGGAAGAATGAAGAGGGGTTGACCATTCGACACTTGGAAGAGATCTGAAGTGACAAAATTGAAAGAAAATGGGTATGGGTGAATCCAAAAGTCGGATACAGATATGATCACCATGGAAGTCTCTGTTGAGGATTAATAACTAAAAGAAGTCTACGTAAAAGATATAGCAATTAACATTCCCCCAGTTAGTGACGAAGAAAGTGCTAACTTCATCTAGGATTTTTCTTTCCATTTTTAAACTCTAAAATCAATTCAAAATATAATTTTAACAAAATCTATATAAATATTGCAAAGCTGAAGATAGATATGTGAATACTTGTTTAAAAAACAGTATTCTTTTTAGCCAAGGATATTTTACTATTAATCAAATGCTTGGTCATATAGTTGGAAAATATTTCAGAAAATGAAGATTTTATTACAACAAAAAAGTACACAATATATTCATTTGAATGCATTGTAATTTTTTTTGGAGATTGCAAACATTTTGGGGCGTTATCTTTGAGATTCAATTACCTGCAGGGTTGTGGCATTATGGTTTTATATTGTAGTCTTTGACCATAATACAAGACTTTCTGTGAATTGTTGGAGAGAGTTTATCCTCTTCCCACATTGGTCAATCGACTACCATTTACTCCCTATTTCTAGAAACATTCCACACTAACAAACCTTTACATTATTATTTTAACCTCCAAACCCTTCATAGTCTTTTCTACAGCCAACTAAACTCACTCATTTTGAATTTTCTGCCATTTTGCAAAAAATTACAATGAGAGTTTATTGGTCCATAATAAACGACCATAAAGGATTAAAAGGTGGTTAAACATACAAGTTTGTAATAGAATATGTCTAGAATGAGGCAGTAAAACGTAGTTGATTGACCAAAGCTGGAAAGTGGAGACCCCCCACCCCACCCCCATTGAGCAGAAATGTCCACCTGTTGCGTAAAAAATCGAATATATATAAAAACCATAGTGCTACAGCTTTGCAGCTAATATTCAATTGACTGGCATGTATGAGCTAGGCAGTTGTACATAATTCCATGCTTTCCATGTTTTATTCTCTGGTTTGAGCACGTTTTTAAGAGTAAAGCAATCAAGGAAGCATACGTGTCAGGGAATTCTCCTCTGCTTTCTCCTGATTTAGTCTACTTTCTTCCTGTGCCTTTTTAGCTTCCTGAAAGCATTCCTCGCACATTATACCATTCTCTGCGAGATTACTTAACATTCTATTATATGCTTCATTGTCTGAGAAGAGCAGCATTTGGAGAGTAGCTTTCAGTAAGCCAATCTGGTGACTGTAATACTCCCCGGTAGCACACCAGTTAGCAAAGTGCTCACAGTTGTCTGATGATATACTGTACAATGTTTCCTCATTCTCTATCTCGGCCCGTGCTCGGCGGATGATTTTAGAACGAGTAAAGGGTTTATTTTTGTACTGAATAATATACACATCCTGTTTCTTTAAATCGAATTTCACGTCTTCCTCCCGCAGGTACGCTAAATTCCCGTACTGTCCCACAGTGATCATACACAGTAGTATCCCCTTGGCCACTTCGCCAGCATTTGCACTGCGGTGAATAACTCTCAGAAAACCGGAAGTGGGGTCGTCCTCATCGGGCGATACCTCGACAACAATGGCGTGGTGTTCGTATCCGACAGATCGGTGGATGGTGATGTGGTCTCCAGGGGTCAGTTCTAACATTGACTCTACCTTGTATTTATTGAAGCATTGAAAACATACACGCTTGCACTCATCTGGGTTGACTATGCTCCAGCTGGCGCCGAGACTGGAATAGATTGAGCATCTTAATTTGTGTAGAGACAGTTGTTCCGGGGTACATGAGTAATACATAGTCTGTTCAAACTGGTGATAAGTGGACTTTTGCCTTGAGAAGGGCACGAGTTGGCTGAATTTTTTATTTAACGTCAGTGGTTCAATCTTTGGAGACTCTGGTTCTGATGAGTCTGCACAGTCTAATTCTAAAATTGAAATCAGTGTTGCACCTTTCTTGTACACTGCCTGAGTGTAGTCAAACTTCCTTCGACAACTTTTTGTCCCACCAGAATTCTCTTTATCATCCGAACTCTCTCCGATATTTCTTTTCTTTGCTGAGTCTGAGCTCATTTTCTGATACACAGCTTGAGTCCCTAATGTTCTAGTGCACTGTTTCTGAACACATGAATTCTCTTCGTGCTGTTTTTCCTTGTAGAGCTCTTTTAAAGCCGGTTTTCGAGCATATATGGTCTTGAAATCACCTGGTCTTTTCGGTAAATATTTGTTATCTGTAGTCCGATTTCCCTCGCCTTGTCCATCTTCAGAACCACTAGTATGTAAGGAATCGGAGTTTTCCGACTCCATCTGTTGTTGTAAATATCCGATTCCTTAATAAGTACTAAGACATCACCTATAAAGAGAAAAGTAATTACATGTAAATCGTTTATATGGTCGGTATATTGACCTTGTTAGCAAAAATGTATAACTTATTATTGGTATAACTTATCATTGGATCGCATTTCTGCTCACTTGTTTCAAACCCATGTTAGGCTCTTTTTTTATACTGAATTGACTACGGATAGGCCCGTCTACCTCATTAATACATAGAGATCATGGCAGGTGTAACCGATCAACAGGGGATGCTTACTCCACCTAGGCACCTGATTCATTTCTTCTATGTTTACTTTTTTCATAGTTATTAGTATCAAGCTGGCGTTTTATTTAAGAGAAGTTGATTTCGAGTGTGTCCAAAAACTTTTTTTTTCATTTTATGAGCGGTCTTACCCTTCCCCATTTGGTCCCTCATAATACCGGTATGTAGACAAAATTAAAACAATCAAGCTTTTGTATGTAAACTACAGGCTGTCAGTGGAAACTGACACTGACACATATAAACAGATAAAACTGTAGTCTGAGGTATTACATGTATATACTGGCTTCATAATAAATTTACAAAAATTACAACGTAATAAATCACTTTAAAAACCTATCTCCCTGTGATTTGAGGTAATTATGTGGGAGGAATTTTTATAATTGCTCTATGACTATTTAGAGTTTTCAACTGACGTCAGAACAATGTGTTTTGGTATGAGATTCCAAACTGGCAGGTTTCTATCAGCATGATCAGTGAAGGACAATAATACAAGTATAGTTGCCTCAGTTTTGTAAGGTCAAAACAACTTGTGAAAACCTGTCTGTGGCCTTAAAGAGCGGAGGATAACGACAGAGACCAAAATAAAGAATTTAAATAAATCGAGTAAATAATCGGCAGTGTGATCCCTCACAGTCACGGGGTCAACATGAATTTAAAAACCTATTGGTACTTAGTAACATTGCCTATCCTAGCTTGGAGGTCCATCATACCATGAGTTTAATTTTACAGAACAGTTGTAAGAAGATGAGTACTTCAGCTTCAGGGTCGACCCTAAGACCAGGGGGCCGTGGGAATTTCCCAGCTGAATGACGTAATACTAGCTAGTAACCTGGTTACTCTGGTATTCCCCCCTCATCTCCCTGACAAGGGAGAAACCCAAGACCCCTTCTACTTTTTCAATGTTGAACCCTGCTATTTTTAAATTCTTAGGGACGACACTGATACTTATTGTTTCAATTACTTTGACAATATCGAGGTTTCCTGTTTGTATATCTTTTTTTCAATCTTCTGTTGCATAAAGTACAGATCATCAAAATATTTTTTTTCTTTTTTTTCTAAATGTATTGAAAAACGTACAGTGGATGAATTACTACGGGGAAGTACTTAAAGAAATTTGACCTGCAAGGCTGTCGTCCTTATCAATTTATCAGAATCTGGTAACAATAACTATATTGAACAGATATTAAATTTATGTCATTTAACTACAAATTGAAGATCTTCCAATCAACACCTACGTACATTACGTTTGATCCGCTCCACATTTTCAAAGTGCACACTGCAGATTCTTCCAGTTAGTGTTCCCATCCTGATCAATAGTCCATCCAAAAGAAGACTGTCGGTCGATGTACAAACAATGTTGCGTTTTCATTACTATAAATAATATAAAACTTTCCCCATATTTCTTAACCGATGATCTTATTCATTTCCTTACACCAAAGATGTGTATAATCCACATGAGTAGTCGAGTGTGTCTGTGAGCGGGGCCCTCCGTGGGTTATGTCTATTTGTCACAGGCGATCCTACATGTACAGCTATCAGACATTCGCTACTGGGAAAATAAATTGTATGTGACGATACATTGCAGGAAATTGACGGGGGTTCTCCGAATAGCTATAGGTATCATTGCTACTGTATTATTTCATAATAATTGTGATCTTCTATCAATAAATATTCTTACAGTGTACTACCAATGCATATCGTCGTAGATCCCTCTTTGAATGGACTTGATATTATAAATACTGGCATTTAAAACAGCTAAGTATCTGGATATATAATGAAAATAAATCAAGCCAGTCATTTATTTTATTTAATTAAGTATAGATATTAAGTGAAAAGCTTCATGCTTAGCAGAAATTGTACCTTTAAATAAAAATATCAACAAAATGATATTATCGACAAATAAAAGAATCACATTAACTAGTATGAGGAAGTAAGAAGTAAATTTTCAAATATTTATATATAATTTCCCCAAGAAGTCTTAAATAGAAGTAACATTCACTTAAAAATCGAAATGTTGAAAATAAATTAAAAAATGTTTAAAGCACGAGATTTTTTGTTGTATATATTCAACTTAGTATAAAACAGGGCATAGAAAAAGTTTGTAAGCCACCGTGGGAGATTCCATGAAAATGTACATCTTGGTTTACTGGGAAGTGTATTGAAGGATGTCGCCATGTTCGAGATATGTTTATAGAATAATTTAGGGTAAACAGACGAGATTTAGAAAAACAGTCATTTTATGCAATTGCCTATAAGTGACATCTGAAGTACAGTAATGGCCTTAAAACAAAATCTTTATCGTTCATGACTTGCAGAACCCAGAAGTTTCGAAGAAAGTTTGTTTGAACAAATTATATAACTGGATTTTCAAAACTTCAGTGAAAATATTCCGGAATCATTTTGACGTAAAAGGGTTGCGAGATCCTTTTATCAAAATGTTAACGTTAACACTGATGTGATAACTTCATAAGTTGTATTCGAAAGAGCCATGTAGCGCATTTGATAGGCATTTTCGCCTACTGTAGTAGTGATTTCTTAAATGCATTAACCGAAATTTGGATCTTGAATTGAAAATTGAGTCGGCTGTGTCGTCGGTAAGGCAGCTATGGCTCTTTACTCCTATGGAAAATAAAACCACCTTTTGAGACAGCATACATCTACTTCTGAATTTGAATGACCATCTTGAATTTGAAAGACCCTGTATTTGTTTCTAATTAAGTAACAAAGTAATTGAACCAAACGAAAAACCTCAAAGTAGCACGAGGCGCTTTTGTGAGTACGATCACTTTTCAGGGGAGGGGGACTGATTGTCATATAGATATTGCTCAAAAAATATGTAAATTAATCTTCCGCTTATATCTGTCGCTGACGAAGGGATTGGTCCTGTTTTATGCAAGGTTAAATAATATGTATCCTGTTGTTCATACATCTGTATTAACAATTAGTTTATATTTTAAAAATAAAAACAAGATTTCTTTCTGAAACACCGATGCCCCCGTCTGGCGGGCTTGGCGGCGTTTGGTGAAGGTTAAAGTTTCTCAAATACAAATGAAACCCAAAGGTCAAGATCGAGATGAGAAATTATTTTACCCTAAGAAAGGACTTGTCCCAATGAATAAACGTGTGAAAATTGAAAGCCCAAGCATTAACCATTCAAAAGTTATGGCTAAGGTTGAAGTTTTCCTTAATTGTGGGTCAAACTATAAAGTCAATATTAAATGGTCAAATAAAGGTACCCAGGGGAGGCCATGTCATAAGAAATATACATGAGAAAAAATATAAATTTCCCAATACCAACTGTTCGAAAGTTATTGCAAAGGTTAAAGTTTTTCGAATGTAGGTCAACTCCAAGGTCAATTTTTTTTTTGGTATCCAAAGAAAGGCAACACCACAGGGAATAAAACATGAGGCCCTAGTTCTAACTGTTCAAAAGTTATGTTCACGGTTTTATTTATTTATTTTTTTTAAAAAGGTCAAACTGAAAGTTCAAGGTCGAAAATATTTAAACCCATGGAAAGGAATATACAGCCCTAGCACAAACTGTTCAAAAGACATGGCCAAGGGTAAAGTTTGGTAAATTCTTGCAAACGTACGTCAAACTCCAAGGTCAGGAACACGTGGTCAAATATGTTGGTACTCCTCACAAGGAATACACATATATGAGATGCGAAAGCCATAGCTCCAAACCCAAACGTTATGAGCAAGGTTGATTTTCTTTTTTGCGAGCAAACAGCTTGATAGACAGACGGACAGGGCAAATACTTTATCTTCGATTACAGACCGAGGTATAAAAATAATTTATGTAATGTTAAGTGTCAGTGTAAACATTTTAGAGTAAGAGCAACAGTCTTCAGTCTAGGTAAGTACTGTACTCCTCAGATGTGTGTATTGAGATATTGGCAATAGAATATTGTGCAATTATTGCTAGTGTCAGGTCAATACGATGATTATACAAATTTCATTTAAAAAATGACATCTCACCCCAAAAAAGCACCGAATGCGGGGGGCCGCAATTCTTTGAATTTGCTTGTGATCTTGTTTTTCTTGAATTGAAAATTGAGTCGGCCGTGTCGTCGGTAAGGCAGCTATGGCACTCCTACAAAAACCACCTTTTGTTTATATAGACGTATTTACCTTAAATACTTGCAGCTCCTAAAAATCTTCTATCTCATTCTGGTCTAGAAGACTACTGAATAAAGATGTTTTCGTCACAAAGAAAAATCAATATAACTGTCTAATAGAAAGAATGCACAAGGAAGATTTTAATAGATAATTTAACAAAATTAAAGATGAAATCGTGAATGCTATTTTTACATTTTCGTCTTGTACCTTGTCTGACTGTTAGATAAATAAGATTAGCCGTTTCTTTTCCTGTGTAAAGTTATTAACAGGAAGGAACCCAAATTTGATTTCTTTTCATTTCTCACTTGAACAGAAATTCTATTCTGAACATGTAATGAGTTCGTATCTCGGCCGCGACTGACTCAGTCGATAAAATGGGTAGCAACTGTTCCTTCGCTAAGCACTCGGCACTTAGTGAAAGTTGCGGGTCCTTCGGATGAGACCTTAAAAACCGAGGCCCCGTGTCAGCGGCAGGCGTTGGCACGATAAAGATCCCTCACTGCTCAATGGCCATGAGTGCCGAGTAAAGGTCAAAATTTGAAGCCCTTCACCGGCATACGGTGACGTCTCCATATGAGTGAAAAATTCTCGAGAGGGACGTTAAACAATATACAATCAATCAACTGAACATGTAATCGAAGTGAAATGCTCATGCAACTTTACCAGTTTTCTTAACGACGATGTGAGGAAAAATGGCAACATATGAGTTTCAATTTTTCCTCACATCGTCGTTAAGAAAACTGATAAAGTGATGTGATTCAAACCTGTTTTTCATAGAATAAATCTTACAATTGCTTTACGATTGGATTACATAAAGCCCAGATTTCCATAATTTTAATTTCTTTGAATCGAATAGTCTTAAAGATCAACTTTGAAATATCATGTGATGCTAAATGATAACCAAAGGTAAAAATAAATTTACAATATCAATTAAAATTTCGAAGTTATATTGTTATAAGTAATATTCTCTTTTTATTATCATTTTTATTTAAATTTAAATTCTACAAGATCTTATTTAAATGCATTCAACATTCTTTGATCCTATACAATACAACATTCATTATACTCGGGCTAAGATTAACAGCTTTCCTTGGCCTGAAAAGAGGCTATCGAAATCACTGTTGGGTGATATCTTAGATGGTTCAAACAGCAGATTTATTTTCTAAGCCTCCGTTTTAGCAAGCAAGGAAAACAAGACTTTTAAAAAGTATACATGAATACTGTTTGAAACTAAATTGATTCAGATAAAACATAAGCAAGCATTAAATTCACATCCTGAGAAAATGTTCCATATCATATATAAATAGACGATTCATTCATTCTGAAATTCAGTTTATACATACAATCCCATAAACAATACAATTAATTTAAACAAAAAAAAAAATCACTTATCAGACACTCAATGTTTTCATCTCTTTCACACACACATTTCAAGCTTTCAACTACAATGAAAATCATACATTTGATTCCCAACTTTCATTCATTTTTCCTCTATAAGTTGTTTCCTCAGTCTTTCCTTTCACTCATTTTTTCCTCTATAACGTGTTCCTTCAGTCTTTCCTTTCACTCAGTTTTTCCTCTATAACTTGTTTCCTCATCCTTACAAGATGTGCTTCCTGTATAGTTTTTGTTCCCTTCTCGTCAGTTTTGGCACGCTCCTCAAATAGTTCGGGAAACATTGGTCGTAAAATAGAATCCCTGAAACGATTTAATCCGTATCAATATCAGTAGATATTAAAGAACTAAAATCTTTTAAATACCAGAAAAATTATTTATTGAATTATTTGAATGGTTGTTATGATGTAGAAAATCATGACATTTGTAAATGGAAAAAAAAATCTTAAAGAATTATTCAAAAAAAAAAAAAAAAAAAATTTAAATTAATTTGACATACTGAATTTGTCCTTTATTAAAAAAAAGTTGTAAATATGTCTTGCATCCGAAAACTTCATGAAGTGTTTGGTACCAAAGATGGTTTCTTTTCTACAGCATATAGGACGTATATAATTAGATAATTTAGTTTTAACCTTGGTATTGTCAGTAGCTTTTGAATATATAGGCTTACACATATACAAGAAAAATAAATAATATCAGGTGTCAGGTTGATCCATTAGATAATTCCAATCCGTGTTTCACGCCATAGTTTACATGATGCCAAAATAATCCCGTATTTCCCGAAAACCTTTGTTTGATTTCCGGAATTAATACATTTCCGGAATTTTTTTCCCAACTCAGAAGAAAAAACGAACGTTGAATCGCATATTTTTCACACGATTTGTTACATATTGTGTAGCAGTGACGAAGAATAACTTGTTTTCGTTTCGCCATTACACTCTGCATTTAATTATATGGAAGAAATGGAGGTGAAACATACGGAAACAAACCGAGGGAATAAAGCTATTATCGTTGATGGCTATGTCTACCGGAAAATCAATACCCTGAAAAATGGTAACATTGTGTACATTTGTAGTGTGTCTAAAACTTGTAAAAAGTCACTGACAACAGATTCTGATGGCATTAATATAGTGAAATCAAGGAACCAACACAGCTGTAAAAACGAACCTAGCGAAAGAAAAGCCGAAGCGAGACAACTCCGAGTTCGTCTGAAAAAGCAAACCCAGGACTACATAAAAAGTCCTGCTGCTGTGGTGAAATCGGCATTATCAAGAGGTGAGGACAGCAATCTGGAGGATAGAGATATTAGGAATGCTTCGATGGCTTTGTATAGACATCGTCGGAGGAACTTGGTAACAGTTATAGAAAGCATATCCCCTCCTCAAGTACAGATAGAGAGGGTAGATGGACATACAATCTCGCAAAACGGAGAGGTAAATATGTCGTTTAAGACATAATTTTTGTTTTTACTTAAAATTATAAGTACACCACTTATTTCCATATATCTTAATTTTCAAATAAAATAAGTAGAAGTACACACTACAGTTAATGTTCGGAGGGAATTCCGTGAGAGGGGGTTATAGATTGCTCAGTCTCATCTGAAATGTTCAAGTAGCCTTTTTAGGGCACGTTAAACTTTATGATTTTATTTCTATTTTCCGAATAATTCAAACTACATGTAAATCCAAAGTACTTTCATGTTTGCTTTCTTCTTTAACATGTTTAATGAAACAAGTCTGCCAAAAAAAAGGAAAACATCAAGACTCCAAAACTATTTTGTGTGAAAAGGGGATTTTTTCTAATTACTTGTTGGTCAAGGACCATCTTCGCTAGCCAAGGGTTTCCGATCCGAAATCTACAACCCCTTGTCTAGCGAAGAGGATGGTCAAGGACAGATTTTCTACTCTTTCAAGGACCTATTTTTCTATTTCCAAAAAAAAAAATCTATCACCCCTTTCAGAATCAAATCATCATCCTCTTTATGTACGGGGTTAAATATTAGTCAACCTTTCGAGAGAGAATATTTGGCATGTACAATGTAACTAGGTCTATGTGTAAATGTGCCTTACACTGTACTCTCTGTTAATAAAATAGCTTCAACATGCTCGACAACAGCTGAATGGGTGATTCAAGTATAAAAGAAATTCTGCAAAGCTTACTTATTAGCTAGTAGTCTGTTTAATCCTAAAAATCCGAGGGCAACTGCAGCTGGCAACCAGTAACCCCTCCATTTACCTAGTAACGAATCGGGCACCTTTGCTTTCGGCATACTTTAACTTTTACTTTCACTTCATATATTTTACTAATTAGCGAAGGGAACCCTATCAAAGGAAAATGAGTATTCTCGGTATTTAATGGGCCATTTGCAAATATCAACACGAAAATCAATTGTCATATGTCAATTAAAATGCTATATATCATGATATAAACACATTTCTTTTTTATCAATTCGAAAATAGCTTCTACGTTCATAATGTACTCGAATTTATATAGTACGCCTTAACAAAGATTGTCGACGATCAGCTGGTAAAAAAACGCAAAACATTTTCAGACTCATGTGACAGAAATATGCTGCTAGTTAAAACGTAGAGGCTAGTTTTCTTTTTTATTATGAATTATTACAAGTAATGAATTAGATTTTGATTTGCAATATCATTTTTTTTCTGAATAATATCAATGTTTAAGTGGGACATAACGATTTTGAAGATAATACAGTCACAGACCTAGAGGCATATCGAGAGCAAGAAAAATTCCGCCAAACTTGTCTCGGTTTAAACAGGCTATTTTATTCGGTATTTTATGAAGCAATACAGAATTAATCATTGATGTATCATGTAGATTGTGTTTTTCTTTCATTTTCAGGTAAAAGTATACATCGTCTTATCTTTCAAGATGTTCTAGTTAATTATAAAAGACAGTAAATCAAACCCAAGAGAAATTTTCAGGTTAAAATAATAGCGTTCAAATACCAATATAGAAATTAACAAATTAAATGAGAGATCAAAAAATTGTCATCTCTTATCTAGGTAAAAATGAGCACTCTGGGAAGTATATTCAAGTACACAAACTGCCGCCTTATCAGAGGTAGTGACCTAATTACAGACGACCTCTGGGTCAGAGATGGAATCATTGTCAACCCAGAGGAAATCTTCTTCCAGGAGCGACTCTCAGCAGACGTTGTCGTAGACTGTGGAGGGGCCATCATATGTGCAGGATTCATTGATGTACAGATTAATGGTACCTTTTTCTCTTGAATTCTCAATTGTGCATACAATTGGGTATTTTTGGAGGGGTTGTTTGAAAGAATGGATTATATTATATTTAAATCTTTAATATTTGATCAAAAGAATTTATCTATGAATAGCTATTTACTGATTGTAGGGGCTATATATAGACATAATCCATTTTATTTTGATTTTCTTTAAGGAGCATTTGGTGAAGATTTTTCAAATACAGACAACATTGAGGACTGTGTGTCAAAAGTTGCATCTGGAATTCTGGCACATGGAGTGACCTCATTCTGTCCCACTATTGTCACATCCAGTGGATCTACATACAAACAGGTCTATATTTAATTCTTTGGATTTTCACATATCTTCAAAGGTTGGACTCCTAGCTGTGTTTGCCTATTATTATTACATTCTGATAATGTGCATGTTACTATGTTCAATTCAAGATACATGTATTTTATTGAGTATTACTGGCCACTGGTCCAAAGTACAATCATATTACCGGTACTGTGTATATATGTTACTATGTTATTATGTATTTACATATATACAGATTCAAAAATAACATTTTCTGGAATAAAGGTATGTTTTAATTGAAAGGAAATTTTTTTTCTACTCAGAATAAAAGAAAAAAAAAGAACATAATTGCATGAAGATTGTATTTCAGGTTGTTCCAAGAGTAAAGAAGAGAAATGGCAGTGAGGAAGGGTCTGGCATTTTAGGTGATTTAAATGTATACTATTTCAATCTTTTTTAAATGTTACTTAATTTTTTTCCAAAATATGGAATATTCCATTTAACATACCAGGTAATATTCATTTATTTACATGAACATACACATGTATACTTATTGTTCAATGCTTGGTATATGCACTATATTTGAAAATATATGTATCTTCTTTACACTTACTAGTACTGCATATATAAAGAGTTAGTGTGTATGATTCCTGTACAATAATATATGTTATCCTTTATGCTGCTGATTAAAATTCACACAAGTTATCTTGATCCTTGAAGGTCTGCATTTGGAAGGTCCATTTATCAGTAAGGAGAAGAAAGGTGCACACGATGTGGATTTAATACAGACCTTTAACAATGGAATGTCTGATGTAACAAACATCTACGGAGATGACCTGAGTAATGTTGCTATAGTAACACTGGCCCCCGAGCTGGAGAGGTCGGCAGAGGTTATCAGGGAACTTGTGTCCAGGGGGATCAAAGTCTCTGTTGGTATGTCCATTTATTGTTGTTATTTATTGTTGTTTAATATCCTTGGTAAAATATGGCTGCCAAAAATTTCAAGTAACATGAATTTAAAATTGCGACAGATTTTTTTTTTCACACGACTCTTCTAATTCCTTTGCAAAGACATTTTTGTGTATTAATTACTAGCCTATGAAAACTTTAATAATTGGACTGATTTCAGGACATTCTGTTGCAAACTTGATACAGGGAGAAGAAGCAGTTAACAGTGGTGCTACATTTATCACCCATTTGTTCAATGCTATGCTACCAGTGAGCAAACTTTACATATAATCAAGAACTGCTAACTCAATGTTATAATGAATGTTATATTGTGGAACAAAAAGCTAATTTGTGTATTTTTGATAGTGTCAAATGATAATTATTAAAACATCACATTTGTTAGCCCAAATTCTTAGTGCTATTTTGCTCCTTTCCTTTTTATAGTTCCACCATCGTGACCCTGGTTTGATTGGCCTGTTGACCAGTAAACGGGTCCCCAGTGATGTTCCGTTCTACGGTGTGATATCAGACGGCATCCACACCCATCCAGCAGCTCTCAGAATTGCTTACAGGTGAGCTGCATTACGAAGAAAAGATTATAAAAATCTATTAATTAAAATTGCTGTTATTAACTTATTTTGGCATTAAAATTTTCTTAAAATCTTCTCACATTATTGTATTATTATATCCCCATATCCAGCCAAACATTTAGTGCATTTAGTGTCGTAATTCCAGTACCTTATTGCAGGGTTGACCAGAGGGGTATGGTGCTGGTGACAGATGCTATTTCAGCGATGGGGCTTCCAGAAGGGGAACACAGATTTGGTTCCCAGACAATGGAAATAAAGGGAAATAGAGCTGTCATCAAGGGCACCCAAACACTCTGTGGCAGGTAGGCATTTCACTAACCACACATCTTACAAACAAATTCTATATCTTTGAGAAAATTTACAGATATACATGCAAGTTTTTTTTGTTAAAATAATGTGTTCTGTACATGGCAGTCAGTTTGCATGAAGTGTTATTTTTTGTCATTTCAGCATAGCAACAATGGAAATGTGTGTCCAGCACCTCAGGAAATCAACAAGTATGGTCATGATAATATTTATTTATATCTATTTTTCAAAGAAAGTAAATGTATTAATTTCATATTTGTAAAGATATTTACTCTGAAATTAATTGTGCTTCATGTGCATAGCAACAGTTGCTGTCAAACACAAACAACTTACAATTTTTAACATATGAAGAGGAAAAGGTATTTATAGTTTTACATTTATGTAAGTTTTATTTTTTGACAGAATGTGGGACAGTTAGAGCCCTGGAGGCCGCCACCTTCCACCCCGCTCATTTTCTAGGAATCACTGACAGGAAAGGAACTCTGGACTTTGGGACCGATGCTGACTTTATATTATTAGACGACGATCTCAAAGTTTTGTCAACCTACATAGGAGGGGAGCTTGTGTGGAGCAGACAGGATTCAGAATAATGTGTACAGAAAATAAATATCTGTATAGGAGTAAATTTTATTTTATATATGTATTACAATAGATAAAATATTATTTTTTTATTATTTGTATAAATGTCTAGAGGTTTGCACTGCCTTATACATCGTTTAGTTATTTTTTTATGTTTATTATTTTGCTGGTGCTTTAAAGTAGGATTTTTGTTTTAAAAATCAAACCGTATACATTAGTAGTCTTAGGTACAGCAAATTAAAAAAAGTGTTGCTTTTGCTCTTTTCACTTCTATTATACCTCGTATATGTATATTTTTTGTTAAAGACATACAATGTAAGTCAAAATAATTACATGTATATGTATTTATGATGATATGATCAATCTTGGTCTGACATTAATTAAATTTTTGTTATTCATTAAGCAGTACTGTCTGATTATAAATTTAATAACTATACTCTATATTAATGTAAATTGTTGAGAAAATGACCAAAAAGCAAGTTCATATTTATAACAAAGAAATTTTTTGGGCAAGTTTAGCTATGTACTTGAAAAAACCCCCACATTTTCCTCACCCTTTTGGTTTGCTTTTTATTACCTGCCACTGCATACTATAGAACTTGTAATATGCAGTCAGAGTGATCTGCCCTTATATCTAAATAAAAATAAGATTTGTATCTCAACTTACTCAACTAGGAATCAATTCAAGCATTTTTAATATTGGCTTATGCCAAGATGAATTAGTTTAGCAATTTATTGTCAGAGGGGTGGGGTGGGGGGGGGGGGGGGGGGGGAAGAAGTCTATTTTTCTAGGTTGAAAATCTCTTTTTACATTTACAGAATGTGATTTGATCTGGTAACTCAATACCTCTACTCCCAAATATGTGGTATTACAATATGATATTGAACCTACTGAATATCGATAAAAACCATGTTTCTGATTTTTTATCCCCACTTTTCCCAACTATGTATATTTTGGTATTGTTTCTTACTGTTCAATTATATGCAATATGTTTTATTTTTGGATCTTTTCAGCAGTGACTAATGAGCAATTTACAAGACTTGAAAGTAATCAAATTCTAATTTCTACTGATTTTGTCTCAGAGGGAAAATAATTTTATTGCAATATTGAGTAAACTTGCATGTAATTATGAATAGGACAGTTGTAATGTAAATTGCTGAATCAATAAATAATATTTATGTATTACGCAATAGAATACTAGTCAGAAAACTATTTTTTGCTAAATTTCTGACCAATGCTGTTGGCATTTTTATGAATCTGAAAAAGAAATACAAGCTAGACACAAGCTAGAATTTTCCACAATAATAAAAAGATAAAAATATGCATTTGAATTTAATTTAAGAAAGGATTTAAGGTGTCAAATGATAAAGAAATGTATCTACGTGTAGAGTATTGTGAGCAATGAGCTCACTGAATGATACCCCTCGCCTCCCATATGGTGATAATGGAAAAGTCCATGTTTTGTTGTGGCTGGGAAACCCAAAATATGTGTCGAATCATAAAGTAAAATAGGAGTTGCACAATGGCAATACACATGTATGTAATAAAGATTCTGTGAAAGTTTCATTAAATTTCACTCAGTGGTATAAGAGGAGTTGAGGATAAGAGATGGGTACCCCAAAGCGTAACAGACATACAGACGGATGGTCGGACATACCGATTACTATATACCCTCCTGCTTTTCAAGCGGGGGGTATAAAAAGAAATATATGAAGAGGAAATGTTACAGAAAAAAACAGGCGCCCCAAATTAAACTAGAGGTACTGTGAGCGATGAGCTCACTAAATGATACCCCCCGCCTCCATATAGTTATAATGGCAAAGTCCATGTTTGCTATGGCCGGAAAACCCAAAATATGTGTCGGATCAAAAAGTAAAATAGGAGGTGCACAATGGCAATATGTAATAAAGATTCTGTGAAAGTTTCATTAAATTTCATTCAGTGGTGTGAGAGGAGTTGCGGATAAGAGATGGGTACCCCAAAGCGTAACAGACGGACGGACGGACGGAATTAACGATTACTATATACCCTCCCGCTTTTCAAGCGGGGGGTATAAATATATCACCGTTGAAATGCGACATGCTCGTACATACTTCTAGAGAGATAACTCGGAGCACAGGAGTTCGCGTACCTATCAATTTGACCGAAATTTTCAGTAAACTAGCGGTACTGTGGGCAATGAGCTCACTAAATGATACCCCCGCCTCCCATATGAATATAATGGCAGTGTCCATGTTATGCTCTGGAAAATCAAAAATATATGTCAGATTAAAAAGTAAAATAGGAAAAGCGGGAGGGTATATAGTAATCGGTATGTCCGTCCGTCCGTCTGTCTGTTACGCTTTGGGGTACCCATCTCTTATCTGCAACTCCTCTTATACCACTGAGTGAAATTTAATGAAACTTTCACAGAATCTTTATTACATATTGCCATTGTGCACCTCCTATTTTACTTTTTGATCCGACACATATTTTGGGTTTCCCACAGCAAAACATGGACACTGCCATAATATTCATATGGGAGGCGGGGAGTATCATTTAGTGAGCTCATTGCTTACAATACCTCTAGTTAATTATACCCCCGCTTGAAAAGTGGGAGGGTATACTGTAATCGGTATGTCTGTACGTCTGTCTGTTACGCTTTGGGATACCCATCTCTTATCCGCAACTCCTCTTATACCACTGAGTGAAATTTAATGAAACTTTCACAGAATCTTTATTACATATTGCCATTGTGCACCTCCTATTTTATTTTTCGATCCGACACATATTTTGGGTTTCCCGGCCACAGCAAAAAATGGACTTTTCCATTATTACCATATGGGAGGCCGGGGGTATCATTTAGTGAGCTCATTACTCACAGCACATCTAGTAAGTTTATACATGTATGTCTTTGGATAATTAACTCAAGCTCACCACCAAGCAAGCGATATAGGTAGCCTCAAACTCTAACGTTAAGTGATTGTTATAATACCGGGTATTTGACCGCACAGAAAAACCATTATATTTCCAAAGTTTTAGGCATTAATGTTAATGGGACCGTATTTTGGCATAGTATTAAAAGTGATAGAGGAATTCAATCAGACATTCATCGTACTTCAAAGTACACAATAACTTTTAGATTGATCCGCGAACTTTTTAACAACCTTTGTAATGTACTGGAATTATTTTTAATGCAAACTATTCCATAAAATTATATCTCTTGTTTTTCCATCTATTTTTATGGCTCGGATAACGCTTTCGAGAATTTTGATACTTATTAGGCTAGCACATGACGTTGCGTGTGACCAAGAATCACTTTATACATACATGTAATTTTAATATGATGTACATACAGCTGTGATTTTCTTCATGGACACATTTTGTTAGAATTCATCCATTTTTAGCTCTCCTGAGCTGAAAGCTCAAGTGAGCTTTTCTGATCACCCGTTGTCTGTCGTCGTCCGTCTGTAAACTTCTCTCATTTTCACTGGACCATTTTTAGCCAAACTTGGTACATTAAGCATACTTGGGTAAAACTAGGGGTGTTTAATTTGTAAAAATAAAAGGGCTAAGTCCCCTTCCAAGGAGTTATAATCAAGAAAAAACAAAGGTAGGGTGGGGTCATTAAAAAATCTCTTCTGAAGAACCACTGAGCCAGAAAAGCTGAAACTTTTATGGAAGCATCCTGGAGTAGTGTTGATCCAAGTATTTCATTGAAATAGAAATGCATTATGAAAAAAAAGTTAAAAATTTTAATTCTTCTCAAGAACCACTGGGCCAGAAAAGCTGTAGCTTATGTGGAAGCATCCTAAGGGTAGTAAGTGTTGATTCTAGAGTAATTCCCACCTCTGATGTTTAGAGGTATGTGTTTGTTCTGCTCCTGTTTTGTATTCATTTTTTTGTGGACTTTGATATTGAATACTTTCCGTTATCTCCATATCCTTCATTCAGATCATGGCCCCTGGGGGTAGGGCGGGGCCACAATAGGGAATCCAAATATTGCAATAAAATATATAGGAAAAAACTTACTCGGTTGCGCAATGAGGCCCATGGGCCTCTTGTGTAATCATATATTGTATTTTGATTCCCTGTGATTATGCAAGTGTTTTCATGTGCCATAATGCAGTTGAAATGTATGTATCTTTTAAGAAAAAATACTCACATTTTTAATCTGATTCCCCTTAAATCATCGAATTGGGACATAATTCAAACCATCTTTAACTGATTAAGGTAGAATTGCAAACAATAAATCAGCTCAGTATCAGTTAATGAAAAGGATGTTCACAATTTCGAAAGAATTGACCGTAATAGAGAACAATTTTCGGATAAAAGAGTCATTTAAAGATAAATGTTTATTAGCTTCAATTTCTACCGTATATGTGTGATGTTTTCGAATTTTGTATTTTGCTCCTAAAATTAGTTAACTTTTTCAACTTTAGAATAAACCTCCAAAGTTGGCCTCAACAGCATTTTGTCCGTTCAGCGCCGATTTTTGCGCGACATTTACCCAAAAGTCCTTCAGTACAGGCCTGCCTTAGATAAAATTGTGATATTTTGTAAGGAATATTTGATAGGATGGTTTTTAGGGGCACCCTTGCCATAGGTTTGAAATTCACAAAAAACTACAAAATAAGGATGTGTACACTGTACCTACTTTTGAAATTTGTACATTTAGAATCACTTAGTCAATATGGACCGATTGGACCAAACTTGCAACAAAGCATTCTCGGGTGAAGAAGATTCAAGTTTGTTCAAATGAAGGGTAACACCTTCTATCCTTTGGAGATAAGCGAGAAGTTCAAATTTTATATACATGTATATCATCTTCCAAAAATCTTCTTCAGGAATCACTGGTATCATATTGATATGGAAGCAACCTCAGGTAGTGTGAATCAAGTCCGGTAATCATTTACAGGGGTATCTATATAGGCTGGAGCAGCATTTTTCACATCTACGAATATTTAGGAAAAACTTCAAAAATCTTTTCAAGAACAATATGTATAAAGCTTTGATTAGTCATATTGATATGGATGTATCCTGATGTAGTGTAGATTCAAATTTTTTCCAATAATGCCCCCCCCCGAGGGGGGGTAGGGTCGGGACATGATGCATATGGGGGGATCAAACTTTTATAAAAAAAAAAAGTTTAGGTAAATTCTATCAATTCTCTTTTGCAAACAAGCTTTAAAAATGTCTAAGAACAAAAGCTGTGATTAGTCATACTGATATGAAGAAAAATCTGGGATCATAATTGGGTATCAAAGCTTTGCATAAGAATAACCAGCAGGGAGTTTTGCATCAAAGCGATCAAGTCATTAATCGCGAATGATGTTCCCCGCATTTGTGATAACCTGATATTACCACAGGCACCTGAAGTATGGATAATACCCCCCCCCCTTTTTTTAATTAAAAAAAACAATGTAAGAGTGT